GTGTCTCTGCGGGATTGCACGTGGGTTGTGAACAGAAATTTCAGAATGTTTCAACGCTGAATTAGGGAGAAGGCCAACGCTCTGCTCTGGGCAATCATGAGAACAAGCTTGCGATTCACGTCGTTCAAAGTTCACCAAGGGACGGGAGATTTTGGACTGTGACATGATGATGCGTGGCGTGGGTTCAGCACGGATATCCTTGAGAGTACATGGGAATCTGGCAAGTATCTACCACGCAGCCAAAAACTTGTGGCGAGCCTCAAATGCCTTCGAAAACCTGACGCTACACCCTAGCCCCTACATACCTAGCCTGTGACTAGGTAGAAAAGCTGTAGAACTGCGGGGATTGTGTAGCCGCACTGCGCTGCGTAGTTGCAGGCTGGTAGCCGACAGAATAATGGGTGCGAAGCAATCAAAACATGGCATGGCCCAGGTAAAGATTCAAAAGCAAGCTCAGCAATGTAGAGACAGGACCCAGAAGGTATTTCTTATCAAGGTGCTATGCTGTGCTACGGAGCTGTCCCCTAGGAACACTGCAAAGTGCTGCAGTAGCCGTCACCATGGCTCAAAGCACACATCGCGATCAGGACTTGTGGACTTCTTGACAATGCAGACTTTTGACATCGCGTACAGAAGCCAGAAACCACAAAGCCAAAGCAGGCACAAAGCTATCCATCCAAGTCCTTCTTCCAGTATTCGCCGTAACTACATTGCAGGCAAGATTCGTACCCACCCTCGTATCTAGATCCGTCTGGCATCTCCATCTTGCCGAAGCCTGCAGGTGGCGTTCCATCCAAGATGTATTTGTGTGCAGTGGTGGCACATATTTGGTTGATATACCCGTACATTCCTCACTGGCTTCGTGGTCTTGACAGTTCCTGCGCACCTCCACTTTACGACGAATGCGTGCCTTGGACAAGATTCTTTGCGAAGCAGTACCTAGAAATGTCGCAGCTTGTTCGAACTATTAGAGAGGTTGCGCAGAGCTGCGCGTAATATGAACTTCTCCCCAAACCTTATGCCATTTTTTCTAGGGTTCACTGCATGGGACAGGAGGCCTTTGCGAGCCCTCAGGCGCTAAAACAGAAAACTCAGGCAGTGCACGATCAAACAAACCTTGCATATGTATGCATAGAACTGATGTGAATCATGTCAGCACTTCAATGCGCTCAAAAAATGTCAAAGAAAACCAGGTTCTGCGGGGGCACCCTTCGCAAGAAAGCGATGAACTCATAGATGCACTATGCGCTTCTGGGCTTTGCTTGCGAAGTCGCCAGAATCTGAAGGCTTCGAGTTTAGGGCTTAGATCTTGGCTTGGAGTTTTTGAATTTCCGTGCCTGCAACACGTGTAATAGCAAGTTGCAAGTCTCTGCCCGCCACTGTCTGAACAAAAGCGCCACAAGCCCGTTCCAAAACTTCGTGGCATTCTCTCTGCAAGTACCCTCCAAGACCCATGAACCTGGAATCCCGGCTGGCCTCTCTTGAACGGATTCTATTCTTGACATAGCCCTTTTGGGGTCTCCATGTTCATTTGGGGGAGCGTATCTGGGAGCAACACTTCTCGAAGCCAATCCTTACCTTGGACATCTCGAGACCTTCAAGCTGAATAGTTGAAAGGGTAACATGTAGCATTTGATTCTGACGAATGCTACCCTGAACAATGACCTTCGTGACAACCGTCTACAGGGTAGCTATTTTTCTGCATGACGGCTGGCAAGCTGCTCAATATGATCCCTATAACCTCCCATGTTTGCATGCGTCCTCAGCCTTCAGGTTGGAGACCCACACAGAGCCTACTTCCCAATCGACCTGCATAGTCCTAAATCTTGATTTAAGCAAGTTTTGTTGTGAAGCCCGCTTTAGAATTCCTACGTGCATCCCCGTGTGAGAAACTCGCCACGCCCTAGTTCCAGCTCAAACAAGCTGAAAACTCAAAATCCCAGTTCCCGTCCCCACATCCAAACACTCAAGCCCGCAGCCGTACTCCTGCAACTGGGGCAGAATGTCTGACCCTAGACTCCGAAACCCCCAAGCCTCAGCCCTAAATTCGAAATAGTTGCAGATTGTAATGTAAGTCATCAAGGTAGGCTGAGGAGCCGCTCATGTGGCCCATGGACCACTGGCCTTGGGTTCCACGAACTTCCAGGCTTGTTCTAGGGCTGCTTTGGGATTTTGCAGTTCAATCTGAATACACCTTGCAGAGATAACCTGTTGAACAAGCCGAGCTGGAAATTTCAGACCCTCAACTGAAAGGAGCTAGGTCTATGTTCAGGAAGATCAACCTGAACCGTCAACATCCTTCCTTTTGCCTGTTTGATCCCACTTTGTCGTCTTGACGGGGAACTGCAGGTCATCTAGAGTCCCGGCGCTTTGGGAACATGAATTAAGCTTCTGGACATCTCGTGGGTCCTAAACCCTTAACCCGAACATACAAGTAAGGTAGCCCTAACATTTTCACTACAGCTCAGTGGCCCAGTGTCAGCATTCGCAAGCCCCATATGGCTGTTTCTTGAAGGGTCCCGCAAAGTACTTTGGATTTCCTCCGCTCGAGGATATGCTTTCACATGCCCTGCCCAGAACTTCGCGCCCCACAAGAAACATAGAGACCGAGTAGCAGCAGTTGTTGACAGCTACCCTGCTGAAAATGTGTTGCTGGGGCTCCATGTTTATTTGCAGGACGATATGCTCTCAAGCTGGAAGGCGTGTCATGGATTGGAGGAGGCTATGAAAAAAGGGTGTCATGCTGTACCACAGTACCAAGCTTCCTCGTACTAGCAATACTCATAGTAAGAGTTCTAAGGACAGCACACTGCAATTTTCACAATATGCTTTGTCGCAGTAGCTCTGGTAATCAGGTATTGTAGGTCCTTATACTGCAGCTCGCCTTAGATTTCCCTTGGGCTTATGCTCGAAGACTGGATTCTCTGGCTAGTGTCCGAGCATGGAAGCTTGCTGCCTACACACAAAACTCCGCGGCCTGATGACACACGGGAACCAGGAAAGAACCATTGAACACGTTCAGCAGTGAGCGGCTGTGTGAAATGCTTTGTTTAAATAGTATTGGGACTGCAGTGGTCACTTGATGTCACTTGCAGAAAAACCTGGCCGAGTGCTCTGAAACAAAACTCTAACAAGAACCCCAGCCCAGCCCCAGTCAACCATGACCGCCTTAGCACTTACACCCTGCACAGCCAACAGCCGAAGTTGAAATACCCCCTGATCGCCTACAGAAACCCCAAAGGCCAAAGCCCAATCCTTTAACTTAACCTTGATCCCCCCAACCCCCAACAGGGGAGCCCCAGGAGCCCACGTAGACGCGACCGTTGGCAAATCTGTAGCAGCCCTCTCCATCCATCCTTGGCTCGTGGTTTGCAAGGTGTAGGGTTTGGGGGGAGCTTACAGGATTTTGAGTTTCATGGTGCTTTGAAGGGTCAAAGGGTTTATGGTGTTTCGAGACTTCTAGGTCTTTATGGAGTGTTCAGGATAAGTGGCTTAAATGGTTTGAGGGTTCAGAGCTTACGGGTCTTGGGAGCTTCACAGGGTGTAGGGCGGCATAGGATTCCAGGAGTTTTGATTTCAGTTTCCACCTAGCTACCAGAACAGAGTAGACTGAATGATGAGAGACTGTGCAGTGGCGTCAGCTTGCTGGTCGTTGGGGTTACCTAAGACCCCTGCTGAGGTGGAAAGGACGAGCTTGGGCTCTGTTGTGTACAAGCTTGAACCCCTAAAGCCTTCTGAGCGTGAGGAAGGGGATTGGAGATAAGGTTTTGCGTCCGAAGCTAAGCCTTGAAGCCGTGTGGGTACTGGAGCAAGTTGAGAAGCCTTTGGAGCCCTTGATTGCCGACGCCCACCTATCACTACACCCTAAACCCATGCAGGAGGAACTTAGGAATCCCTACTCAGTTTAAGACACATGACAGAATCAAACTTCATTGCTAGTCGTGGGGTGGACCCGCTTAGGCACGACAATCACAAGTCCCGAGGTCCAGCCCATAGTTTAGGGTTCGTGGGGCGTCACAGATCAGCATCAATGTGAGAATGACACAGGATTTCGTCCACAGGATCACAGTTACATGGACACTGGGATTATGTAGTTGTCTATGTGGTTTACATGATGAGGTAGACAACGGCACGTGGTTCCTAGCCAAAGCTCTAGATCCTTATTAAAAGGTCGGGTAAGCCTCTTTAAGCCCTAAAGCTCAACCCCGATACCCAAGGCCCTTGAGCATAAACGTGTCGTTGCTTGGTTGCTTGCTTGCTTCCAATGGCCTTTACAGCTCCAAGGGTGACATAACGGGGGGCAAAACAGTTATCGGATAACAGGGGCCGCTTTAAACTTCAAACTGTCAGTGCGAGAAAATCTTACATGAGGCAGCGATAATGGACATGCTGTGATTGATTCTCCAGTTGTCAGAACTTCTTTTCTGCAAACCCATATCCCAGAGCAAGTGGGTCTTTTGGCAAGTGTCTGGTCATTGTGGAACTGGCCCTCGTACTGAACTCCAGTTCCAGATTTATACACGCCGACGCCTCAGCAAAACGTCCCATGCACAGGCGCAAGGGTCCAAGCTCAAGGAAAGCCTGCGTTGATCAGGGACCGGTGCTTGAGACTGCACGGACACTCTGAGCCATGATGAAATGAAGTTTCATGATGCTTGTAGATCACTATCTCCGGTAGCACGTTTTGAAGGCAGCATTCCGGCGTTCGGGGGGGCTTGAGTTGTCCGATTGTCTGTGAAGTTATCGTGCTGACGACTCTTAGAGGCGCTCAACAATTTCTGCGACTCATTGGCCTCATGTATGCCCCATGACTAAACGCAGGAATCTGACAGGTAGGAAAGCACACGCTTTCAGGTGATATAGGGGGAATTCGAAGAATCGCGCACTACAAGTTTGTAGCTAAGGTGGCTTCAGCGCATGCAGTCACTGTTTCAACTCGTAACGCGCACAAACGCACAGTGTCAATGCAGCCCTGTGCACACCCCTTGCCCCTACCACTCTCAGATGTCACCCAAGATGCCATGCTTGCTGCCATGCAAGAACTCGCCCTCGTATCGGGCACCGTCCGACCAAGTCTCAATACCTGCAGAGTAGAAAATGCTGGGCTGACATTCCAACTAATTAATTGTCGAATACGTAATCCTCATAATACAGCCTTAAGCATCCAGTCTCAGGGCCTTCACGCAAGCTTGGCATGTGCAAACCCTCCGGAGAACGCCCTTGAGGATAGCAGCAATGAAAGTGTGATGGGCATTTGAAAGGCGATGTTGCCACAAGGAAGCAGCAATGTGAAACACCCGTCATGTAAAAGTAGCTAGTTATGGCAGAGAGGTTTTGAAGGTTGGTGGCGTGCCTGTGCCTCCGGCTGTATCTAGGAAAGATTCAGAAAGCCTCTGGCCTGGCACAGGGCCTCTGCGGTGTATTGTGTGAGGGTTTCCGTATGCTGCATTCAGAAAGGTCTGGGCCTATCCGAAGGTGACTGGCCCTCACTGACACTAACATGCTAATGTTGGATCCTGATTAGTGTGGGGGCCCCGCCCGCAACCAAAAAGGGGAGCCCCATCAATAAAAAGGTCTCAAAACGAATTGGGGGTCTGGGGGATCCTACGGCTCCTATCAAATCAATAAAGGAAGAGGGATCCTTCGACTCGCATGGAATCCATGAGGACTTGTTCGGTCTAGCTTTCAAGAGAATAGGAAGGGCAGGATCTTCAGCCTTTGCGTCAAACGGCCTGGTCTTGAAAACTAAATAAAAACAATTACAATATATAATCAAACTCATAGAAAATCTTTCCAAAATCTATTTGAAAGGAATTTGATCAACACTTTACCCATAATCTTTTCCGGCCGAAAAAACTGTACTTTATTGAGACCGCCCAAATCGAGTAGGGGGTCCAGAATAATTTTCGAAAAGCTTTACTTTAATGGGGACTCCCGCACTAATCAGGATTCGACATTACCCCTTAAAAGGGGCTGTATGGCGGGGTAATATGGATATGTACAGGGTTTGGGGCTTAGTGTGCGTGACATATACTCCCCCACGCCAACCTGGAACTCCCTGGCAGATTCCTGCAAACACAATCCGCTTTAATCGGGAACTTCAACATCGCGTTCCATGCTAGTTTGGCTGAGATGCTGCTGTTGTCCTAGAAAGCCTGCAATCCTTTACAACCCCTGGAAAACCACCTAATCCCTCTTATCGATCCTACTTAGGTAGATGACATGAACCCCTGACCAGGTCAAAGTCCCAAATCGAATGCCCTAAAGCGGTTTGTCGACATCTCAGCCCACCTCGGCCGCTTTTCTCATCAGCGTGCCACCTTGCATGCTTACATCGTAGCGGTCAGCTATAGTTTTCAACCTACGGAACCCACTTTCTTGTTGGTGCTCTTACCGCAACTGGCGCAGAAGTTTGCACGCTGCAAAACGGCCATTATCTTCGCGGTATTCAGTGCGGGGGCTATAAGGGGCATATGGGCGGTCCCCATTGGGGATCATACGAATACATCAACCTTTCACGGCGAACAGACGCCCGGTTCTCTTCACCAGAAGGATGCGTAAGACACATTTTGTTGAATGATCATCTTGCAGCCCAGTTTACCAAAAACATGTGCGAACCAAATAGCTTGAACGCACGCACGCAGCAGCCCAAAAACTCATCGGCCCTGGTTCTAAGCCTCAATCGTGCAGTTGGGCAGTCTTTTGCGTCTTGCAAACAGGGCGCTCACCCTCGTAGGTGGTGCCATCGATGTGAACATACCTGCATCGCAGAATATCTTCAGAGGTCAACGTGTGAACCAGAAATCTCAGAATCGCACCTCGGACGCAGGCTCTATTAGAACTCATGCGATACGGAAGGGTTTGGGAGTGTGCAATCCTGAAAAACTGTTGAGATCATACGGATCAGCGTGAGGACAAGCAGAGGATATCAAACGATTTTGTGGCTCTCTTTCTGACCTTCTGAAACACTTCAGACAAATCTGCAGGTGTGTCAGCACCAGATCTGCAGGTGTGTCAGCACCAGCTGTACAAAACACACATACCATATCATCCATACACTTACATGAAACCTGTTGATGCTGTACCCGAGTTCTGACGAGTGGCTTGCCGTAGCCGTGCTTCTGGTCTTGGTGCCACTGACCTCGCCGCCACAAGATGTGAGATTTTGGGTGAGGATCTCAACGCTGAGGATTCCCGTTCGATGGTTGTCCACTTCGTTCTTTCAGCGGAAACCTGCTTCTCGGAGCGACCCGAAATTCTAAATGCAATCAACCCTCGCCCTCCTTGCGGCGAAGGGGTACTTGTGCCGGAGGTCTAGTTGAGACACACACACAACTATAACTATGGAATATGGGATTTCAAGATAGGGTCTGGTCGAATACCTCACCACGAAAGCGGACCAATGCCAAGAGCCCCCCACCAAACTCATCCTGATCCGCTACACATGTAATTTTTGAATCTTAAGTCCAGACGTTAATGCTTGTAGGTGGATGCCACTTTCGTTGATGATGTTGCTGCGTGCCTGTGTGGGCGAGGGATTGGTGGGCTATGGCGAAAAGAAACTCCTAAAGAGTCTTGCATAGACTTCCCAGCAACTGTTCCAACCATCCTGTCTTTCTACGGCAAGCATTCAGATTAAGAACATGCCCCGAAGCCTTCTTATCCCAGGTGTCAGATGGTAAGATCACCCCTTCTAAGCCCGGCCTTCGTAGGAGGTTCCTGAGGCCTCAGTGAAGGTACCTGAGCTCGGCGAAGCCATTCTTGGAGGGGAGCGAGATGTGGGGATGGGGGGGGATGTTTCGGGTTTGGAATCGTTCTAGATCTAGCTGTATAATCCCCTCCCCTAGTAACACCCCCCCATTCCTCCAGTAACCTGTACTAGAATGGTGCAAGATTGGGAAACTTTCTAGTAGGGGCGTGTGTGCGTCTATGCTAAAAGGTAGGGAGACGTGAGATCAAAACCCTGTCTTGTCGCGGCCCCCCATCCAGAGCCTCCTACATACTCCTTTGTTGAGGCCTGTCGTTAAATGCCTTTGTTGCGAACGCTTGGATTCTTATCGCAAAGATGCTTGTTGCAGGCCAGGAAAGGCGGTAAACAAGCCTAGGTTGCCCTCATGGCCACCCAAGCCTGTTGCAAACGCAGTTCTTCTCGATTCACAGCCATGAAGCTCAATCCTCAACCCTCAAGGCCACACCCCACATGCCAAGTCCAAGGCCGCAAGAAGAGCCCTAGGTGTTAAAACCGCCAGCAAATGGGAATTCCTCAGCCGCCCGGGGATCAAAGGCGCTTGCAATGCCTAGGCCTAGACTCCCCTCCGAATTCCACGCGTGACGCCTGCAACCCTGCAAGCACTTCTCGAAATCTGCCCAAACCAAGAACGTCATCAAGGATCAAGAGCACTTTTTCCTGGAGAATGAGACGGCGAGCCGTACACCCCAAACCTTCGTGAATGCTACCCTTCCGTGGTATGGGTCGAACTACATGGATAGGGGCATGCCGCCTCTCAAGAACCATGACATATCTTGAACCCTAAACTAGTGGCAGCAACATTCCTCTCAATCCTAATTATGTATTGTGCTTCATATGCACCGCGAGTCCTAACGAGCTGAAAATGCAGAGTCCGGATCTAAGTTGCCGTGGCCATGGGCGCGATTCTCTAGCCAGGAACCTTCATAGCCTGAGCGGGGTTGATTGAACAGCTGTTGTCTCTAAGAGTGTGAGGTCTAAGCTTGGTGTAGAGCTGTGTCGGTTTGATGCTCTATGACTGGGCTGTTGGCTTTTGCTCTACGTCAAAATCCTCTTGAATGGCTGGCTAGCTGGAAATTGTTATGTTTGCCGGTGAGCACTCATTTCAGGACTGTGCTCTGGGTGCAGCGGTGCATAGAAAAGCCTCCTCTTCACACCTTATTGTTCAATCCCCCAACTCCCTTAAATTCAAGCCATGTCACTTCCTGACCAACTCCCAAAGTCACTTCGTCTCAGCAACAAAGCCGAGCGCTGCATGGGCTCCTACGATCTAATACGTCTATATACTGCACCTGAGGTATTACATCAATTTGCCTAAGTCTACATCTTACATCCGCCCAAGGGTTAATTAAGCCTTCTTGCCCTGAAGACCAAGACCCACTTAATCCTGGATCCCGCAACCCCAAACACCCCAAAATCACCAAAAGCCCAAGAGGGCAGGTAGCGATGGCCGTCCGCGCGCGTAAGCACGCCATGACCATGCCTGGCATGCCAGGTCTACCCCCCCCATGTTTGGTGATTTAGGTGTTGCGTCTACATCGAGACAAACCGGGTAGGCGGCAGAAAGCAGCTTAGCAAGTACATGAAGCTGCGATTGGATCTATAACCGGAGTGAGAACAACCCCGAGCCTTGTGTACTGCGACCGGAAGGACTGAGGCCCGACAAAAATGTGCACAAGCACCCTGAGGATTCCCAAGCCCGGCATACCCTATGCCCTGAAGCCCTATTCGACCTACTGGCCTCATGTTCCCTCGCCACTGGCCCTTGTACCGGGCACCGCCCTCTACCTCCATCTCCGGCTTCCTGGTTAGGTTGGTGGTATCTGTGCACTGTTTCCGGTTCGCATGGGTTCTGTGTAGGGTTTAGGCGGAACGTAGAAGTTCGGGATTGGAGTTGAGGGTTCGGGTCGGGTAGGGATTTGGGCCAAGGGTTGTAGACAGGCCCAGGGCTTTCAGGATGCAGTATGGGATGCTACCGGGATTTGACGGGAGATCGTGTTGAAGCATTTAACCTAATAAGGAAACATGCGTGACTGCTTGGGTCTTGGATGCTTCTGCCCGAATTCCCAGTCCCAAGAACTACAAGATGAGCGCAACAGGCAATGCCATATGGCGTATGGGCTCGTATTCAAAAGGCGCTAGGACACGTGTCGTATCAGTGGATGGGACTCGGTAGCTATTGCAGCAGATGACGTCTGGAAAACCGCACCCCAACCCGCCCCAACCAGCGAACTCCGTCCCAGCAAGCTTAATCACCCAGCCCTCCAACCTAATTCCTCAGGTTCTAAAAAACTTCTTCGCAAATGCAACGAAGCTTCTCGACCAATTCGTTTGTGATGTTTGTGCTCGCTTTAGCCTTTCCTTGCAAGTCGGCAAGCTGACTGGTTTTGTGGAAGAGCTTCAATCAAGCTTTGATGAGGGGTTGATTGCAGCCCGTTTGATTTTTTGTTTTCCGGTCAGAGCCGCATTGATTTGAGATTAGAACTAGGGGACGCTTTTGACATGCAATCTGGATGCTATTGCCTCTTTGTCACTAGCCAAGTTGTTACACACTCTTGGAGCTTGAGAGGTTCACAGTGTTATTGGTTAAGGATAGGGCTGTATCTTGCTTGTCCATCTGGGGCCTGCAGTTTAGGCTTGAGGGCTGGGGTAGTCGTCGAACAATGTTGCATTCAGATTCCCAACCTACATACATTCCGGGAGAACCCTGCAAAGGGACATCTGCAATTTCCATGTGCTGTGCTTTTGGCAACCCAAGAGTACCTGATAAGCACCACTGTATGTAAACTCTTAATTCCTAAATCCTCCTCAACCAAAAATCCTAAACTCTGAGCCACACACCCGTGTCCTAAACCCTGAGAGCACCTAATTAATTACTGATCTTACCATGGGACTTTCGACCTTGATGGTTCCTTTTGAGTTTCTGTCGGTCTTGCTATCGTTATCAGAACTTCAACTACTCTCTTCGCCATGGTTTGGGCTACAACCATCATGCAGGCCTTGAACATCTGCGATCTGTGGTGCAGGCGCTACATCCTCCCGACGCCCAAGATGCAGACATTGGTCACACGTGCTTGTAACGTGATTTTAGACAGCTGATTGAAGTAGCAGCATGACGGAAGATCTCTGAGACGGCGTGCTAGAAAGGCCCAAGGACGCCAATCAAGCTTTATGGGGTGTAATTAGCGCATGGCTCGGAAAAAGGGTCCACTTCATGAGGATGCGATGATTACAGGACGTATTTCAGATGTGTTAAGTGGACATATTTCTGACCGGTTCCACGCTGAATAGGTGCAGAAACGCCCACTTCGGAGACCTTGCACAAGAGTCCATGGCTTGTTGATTTCCAGTTTACGTGGTGGGGTTGCGGCCCAGGCTTTATCCCCAAAGCTTGATGGAACCAAAATAGATCCGGCTAGTTGCTGCTTGTATGGGAGGAGGGGGTCTGAATGCCCTCAACAAACATCATTCATCACCAGCATCGAATAAAAGTCCCTCACCCGAACTGGAAACTATTCCCCTTATGTACAGTTGTGGTCCTTCGGGACATTAAGCGGTAGGTGGGTCGCTCGTGTTGTTATTTGTGGCAAGAAATCTCTGAGGGCATCGTTAGGCATCCTCTTCGCCAACTCGAAATACGGAAGCCAAAGCCTGAACCCAACAGAGTCCTCTTCATGGTAGACGATGTTCTGCCCCTGTGCGCCATCGTAGACCTGTAACAGACTTGGAAGCATGTTGGACTATGCGATCCCCGTAATTGCTACGCCCTATACTGTCAAGCCACAACATCCAACAGGACCTGTTTTGAGAAGCTCCTTGTTCACCCCTTCAAGCAGTTACCTTTCCGTGCTCCAGCAGGGGCCCAGAAGGACACGCGCCAAGGTTGGAAGAATGGATTAAGGGCGTTGGGTTTTGGGTTCAGGGTTCAGGGAAATGCATAAATAAAACACTCTAATCGACCTTGCATGTTTATAGCCTGGAACCCATAGCTCAAAGAACAGCAGTCTTTCACACCCTCTTTTAAAGTCCCCAGTTATTTTGAGGGAGGGTCAATGGCCCCCAGTGCGGGGAGGGCTGCCATAGGGATCCTTTCTTCCAATCCCTGCCAACCACCAGTAAGTCGGTATACGGTTGCCTTTAACACATATATGGCTTAAAAGAGTTGTATATATATATATATGCATATGTTTAATAGGTGGAGCCATGACGTTTGTGGCCAAGGTTCGTCGGAGTGCTCCGCTGCATTGTTGGAGCAACATACCTTCAACCGAGGGTGTTCGGCTCCGACAGTTTTAGTACGGAAGGGGCAGGGTTCAAGGAGACACATGGCGTTGCAAATCGTACGCCCAATCTAGGACTGAAAGCCGGCCGAGTGTTTAAGCACTGCAGGCGCAAGACAAACTTTCTTCACCACTTGAATAGATTCGCGCATTTCTTTACTCTGGGACTCCTCAAGTACCCCGGAAGGAAGCCTTGAGCCCCACGTTATGACATGACATCCCTAGGCAACTGCAGCTTGGGTCAACTTAGATCAAGTAGGGTTCAGGGCTTTCCTGCATAGACCATAGGATATCTCTGCCTGGAGTGAGAACTCCACGAAGCCAAGGATCATGACGTCTTTGCTTTAAGGCTCTGAATGGAAGCTCCTCTGTGTTGACAGGGCCATTGCCCAGCGAACATATAGCTTTGCCAAATCAGACCCTCACTATCCCTATTCGGCCTCCTCCTCCTACTCCTTCGCCTGATGAGTGTATTGTCACCTATCAGATTCGCTGATCTCGTGGGCCAGCTGGGAACATCAAACTGATCTTATCTGGCGGTAGCTTAGCTGCCGCCTGCAGCCTAGAGTGGAATCGCCTGCAAAATAGACGTGCAAGACTGAAATAAAACAGGTGCAAACCCCCTATCGTCACAGTTTCTGTTGTCCTTGAAGCATTTTCCTAGTCGCACCCGACACACAGCGCGATGGCAACACTCAACAATAGGCTTTTCCTGAAGAGGGGCACCCTACAATGCCCTGATGCTGCCCATGCATCCCTCTGAGCATCACAGTGGGGCAAGCGCGAGCCCCCCTCTACACCCGAAACCCTGCACCCCACTTGACCGTGAGCCCCAAATCAAGCACTCAACCCAAGACAACGAACTCCATTTGACCGACCTCCCAAGCACCTATCATATTGACAGCGGCGAACCCCTCAAAATGAGTATGTGGGCCATCAGTGTAGTGCGGGTATTTCGGAGGTCTAGATCAACACTTAAGGTAACAACTTCTGTCCAAGCCAGCCGCCTCTCGGAAAGGGTTACACGCCAGCAGCCCCTTGCTGGCCATCAGCCGCCCTGGTTATGTGGTTCAGGGCTGATGGTCGGTGCCTATCACAGCTTGGGGCTTTAGGGTGTAGGGCTTGGGATTGGAGGTTTTGGGTTATTTCAAGTAGGTTTTTTTAAGCGCATATGGTTTCTATTCTTGTTGCTATGGTGCCAACCCCATACCTGTGCTAATCACTATCATAATTCTTGTTGGCAGGACAAGAATTTGACGGCACCATGAAGATTATCAAGTGGCTGCAGTGCTAAAGGTTTGGTACAGCTAGGTCCGTAGCTTCCTGAAATCTTTAGATTCATGGCCAATCTGAACCTCCCCAACCCTGTCTGATCCTAGTTCATTGGAACCCAATCCCTGAACTAAGGTCCAATGTCGAAACACTCAGCCCCGTTCCCCACTCCAAGCCCTGATCCATCCTGATCTGCTGACCCAGGCAACATGCATCCCTAAAGGTCAAAGTTGCCCTCCTATATCATCCATAACAGGTACCCCTTAAATCTGTTTACAATCCACATCTACAACGAAGACCCATTGAACGAACGCCTACATCTGATGCCTCCGCCGCCCGAGCACTCCACTGGGCTCCCGCGCAGCTTGAGCAAAAAAGTTCTTTGACGAAAGGGTAACTTTTGGATTCAGAGCTTTTGCCTTAGGGGTTTAGGGTGTTCAGGAACCATGAGGCATCAAGGCTCATGATTGGGAACGCGACTCAGTATCCAGCATTCAGGGCACCAAGGTGTCTAGCAAGCCCATGAGGGCTATGGATTTTGTGGGTCTATACATGGACTCCAAATGGTTCAGGATTTTTGGTCCAAGCTTTGGATCTTGGGTGTGGGTGTATGAATCAAGGCTCCTTCGAGCATGCAACATAACAGAACTATCTCATGCCAAGCCTGAAATTCTATCAGTGGATGGTAGCCCCAACAACATCAGCAACGATCCCGCAGCAAGTTCCACTAGATGAGCATCAAATAGCCATGCACTGTTGGACTCTTGCGCATCGGATGCCGAACAAAAAGGCCGGCACAAAACACACACACGATTGGGTATGTTCACGCACTAGAACTTGTTTATGTCTTTTTGTTAAGATCGCTGAAGTGCCTGATCTGAACCCCACATGCTGCACATGAGAGCACATAGTTCTTCTCAGAACCGCTCTAAAGCCCGCACATGATACACACCATCTACAATCCCGACTTAGATCACACCCCAAACCCTGGACTCCATCATCACAGAACATTCTGCCTTGAAAATCCGTCGAAAATCCCTGGACCTCCGGGTGCCTCCTTGCTCCGCAGATAGGCCAAGTGCAGTGCACACACGAACTCACCACGGTTGAAGCGACCATCCTACCCGAACCCGGGAGCCCGGGAGGATCTAGAAAGTGGAAGCCCTGTTTTGGTATTGGTAACCTGCACGAGGTCTTGGAACAACAAAAGCGGGATGACGAAGTGGCGTGAAACTGTGAAAA